AAACGGCAAGTCTTTACACTAGACGAGCCAGTAAACTCATCTGGCCTACGGTTCATCCCTAGCCAACTCAACTAGTCAATGGGCAAAACGAGACAGTTCAACTCGTTAGTGAAGCTTCAATCACTCAGACATAAATTCAAATACTTGAAACTTAATTCAAGTAAAACTTAGACCCTCTTTCATTCGTCTGATGCATCAAAAACTAGCTCATCCAGTCATCCTCAACATCTGCTCGAGATCCTTTCTCAGACAGCCTTCAATGAATGGATAAAATTTTAATTTATATATCTTTCATAATATTGTCTAGTATTGTCTAGGATGATAGAAAAATCACGTCTGGAGGTTGCTTTTACATTGGAGCCAATCTTATTGCTTGGATGAGTAAGAAACAAAATTTTATCTTATTGTCCACGACAGATGCTGAATATATTACAACAAGAAGCTGCTTCACTCAACTGCTTTGGATGAAGCAGATGTTGAGTGACTATGAGATTGAACATGAAACTATGACTGTGTTTTGTAACAATACTAATATTTCAAAAAATCCTGTTCAACAGTCTCGAACTAAATATATTGATATTAGGCATCATTTCATTCAAGAACTTGTGGAAACTCAAATAGTTAATCTTGAACATATTTCTATTGAAAATCAATTAGCTGACCTGTTTACTAAACCGTTGGAAGGCTTCTGTTCGAATCCTTTAGAATTGCTATTGGTATTTGTGTGCTTTATTGATTAAGTATATTTGATGCATGCTCGTATCCTCTATTGTGTGACTTTTAGTTATGCATGCATTATGTTTATTTATCTATTCTCATGTATTTCTACTTTCTGTTTTTGTGTTTTGGTCGTTTGCATTTTCTTTTGTTTTGTGTGCTTAGTGTATTCATGTTGTTCAATTTAAAAAAAAAAAAAAAGATGAGAAAACACAAAGTTTTTATGAAAGAAATTGTTTTACAGCATGATATACAATATATTTGATTTTGTTGGTCACAATCAAGCATGAATTTATTTAGTGAGCTGTAATATAATTCCCATTGTTGGGTTAGGATACTTTTGGAGTATTTAATATAGGTCTTGCCATATACCATCTGCACTGCACACACTATGAACTTGATAGTGGGACTCTACCTCGTGTATAAGATTTGGGATGACAATCACACGTTAGTANTGAATACATTTTCTTTGATCTTGTGTGCTTGGTGTATTCATGTTGTTAATTAAAAAAAACAACAACAAAGTTTTTGTGCCGAAAATTGTTTTACATGATATACAATACACTTGTTTTTGTTGGTCGTAATCAAGCATGAGTTTATTTAGTAAGCTGTAATATAATTCTCATTACTAGCTTAGGATACTTTTGGAGTATTTAATATATGTCTCTTCATATATCATCTGCACTACACACACTATGAACTTGATAGTAAAAATCTACCGAATGTGTGAGATTTGAGATGACAGTCGCATGTTAGTAGGATGACTTTGAACATGAATTGACCAACTTATTTAGACCTAAACTCGAGTTTATCCATGCAATAATATATAGACACATAATGAAAAGTTTAAATTAAAGGAGCTCAATATCTTATACTTCTTTTCGAAGCCTACTTGACTTGAGTAATTAAGCCTGTGGGGTTTCTCTGAACCTGATATCTATGGTCATCTGACTTGGGTTAACGGGCCTAAAACTCGTTACATGGGGTCATGTTAGTATCTTAATGAAAAAAAAGCTTGCACTTAAAATGATTACAATATATATGAGCATTTATGTTTACTGCTGTGAAATAAGATAACTGTTTTGTGCTACAAGTCAGGGAGAGAAAAGACGTTCTCCATAACACTTTGCTGGTTTGACTTTTCTAAGTAGAGAAATATACTTATTAGCAGTGATTTTTTATAAGTCATTTCTCACAAAATTAAGGTTTGGAATCCTACTATCTACGTATTAGTGGCACATAACACATATATGTCACTTATATCATTTACTCCATGGGTACTTTGAGTTAGTTTGTGGGAAAGTTTATAGTTCATTGCATATACTTACGATTGCTTGCACCTACATTCTTAAGATATTGTATGTTGTTCTTTATCCCTTGTAATTTTGGGACAAAAAGGGGGAGTAGAAATTCCAACTTGTCTGATTTTGTTTGATTTATGACTCAAAAGCATTTCATTATTTAATATCAGTTCTGCTAAATTAAGTTTAGTGTTTTAGTAGTATCAATGTGTCATGGTATGTTGGGTTGCATTGATATTATGTCTTGGTTTAGTATGCATGGTTGAGTTATTTGAACTGCTTGAACTGTTTATTATACTGTTTTTCACACATTTTACACTGGGTGTTGAGTTATTTGTTTCAGGAAACGGGTGCTGATTAAATTGCAGAATTGTTCAAATCAGTTAGTTTGTAGTAGGTTTTGAATCTGTAATTTATTTTTGATTACTGCCTTGACATAATTTGTAGTTTTGTCACAGAATGCCAAAGGGGAAGTTTGTTAGGTTTTCGATATTTTGTAATTGGCTATTCTGTAAACAAAAGCATTGAATTGTACTATATTTAAAAAGTCAAGGAGTAATGTGCAATTATAGAAAAATAGGGTTATTAAGTTTAGGGTTCGAGAACGGCAAAAAAATGGAAAATGGTGCGGATTTTAGCTAAACTGTCGCTAAGGTTTGGCTCGAACTACAAAGGCATAAACATTGTTGCTAGACTGTCTCCTCTACTTCGCTCGAGCGTTCAGGAACCACAAAAGTTTTGTTTCGCGTTTTAAAAGCTTTTTCTCTGGCCCATTCGTTTTTCGAACCTACATATAAATATCAAAACACATTTGAACGTGATTTTCAAGGTTGATCATTGAGAGAACTTTATATGAGAGAATACAACCATATTCCTACTTTCAACCTTCATCTTGTGAGATTGTTTTTGTGAAAAAAACATTGATCCCATAATCCAAATACCAAACTATTTTTTTCTCTACACCTGATTAGAGTTCTAAAGATTGAGGAAGTTTGACTGGGGGTTCCAGTGTGTGAAGATCGCGGTGTTCTTCGTTGATCCACAGGAGATAAACGATTTCACAAAGTTAGGAGTTGCTGTAGGAGAGCAGAATTTAGGAGAGCCTTGAAAACTGCAGCTGGGAGTGGTACAGGAGCACAAAATCCAAGAAAACTGTTGGAATTACAGTCAGGAGATTAGTTAATATGTGTCGTTGCTTAGGCGGTAGACTGTGAGTTACATATCATTTATAGTTGATTGTTGACTGGCAAAATGCCCAGTATTTTTCCCAGTTGGGTTTCTCCGTGATCATTCTGGTGTCGATTTATTGCTTTCGTTATTGTTTATTGATTGTAGACTGTAAGTACGGAATCGTTTATAGTGGATTAACAGGCAAAGTGCCCAGAGTTGTTTCCAGTTGGGCTTTTCCGTAATCATCTTGGCGTTGATTATTATATAGATTGATTTTAGAACTGCGGTATTGAAACTTAGGACTAAAATGACTTGCATGTTTAATCATTTAGATTAGAATTAAAAAATGACTTGTTGCTCTTTAATTCGTAAAATATTTTTAATTCCGCATAAAATACATATTCACCCCTCTCTAAGTATTGTTAGGGTCGAACTGCATAAGTTTCAAGATTGGTCAGCCTATGTCTGTATACCATCACCCTAGTCTTATTCCCCAAAGATTATTGAAAACGAGAAGCCCAAAGAGGGTTTTCATTCATTTTTATTAATTAGTACTTCATAGTTAATGAATTAGATCGTCATTCATTTTTAGTGCAAGAAGCGTCCAAGAAAGCTTTCTTTATTTTTAAGATAGTTGGGAGATTTTACTTACCCAAGAAATTGGCAAAAAATTGGAAACACCAGAACATGGGAATAGATTTAATACCAATACAGACTACCCACGAGACCACTTCGATTATGAGATGATAAAATAGTGGCCATAAAATACCTTCTGCCCTATTTTAAAGTTTAAAAAAAAAAAAAAAACCTTCTGCCACTGCCACCCTCGTCTATTTATTTTATTACATCTAATATAAGAGGCAAAACACCTAAATGATCAAAGATAATTAGCTGTAGTACATCTCTATTTTTTCCAATGTGTTGTGCTGCGATCGCATCACTCTTGCAAAAAAAATATTGCCTCCCGGCGAATATAATTTAAGAGAGTACGGATTTTATGGGTGACTTTGAGAGAGAGCTTGCAATCAGAAAACTTCAAATTGAGTCAATGGACATGCACAGTATTATCTAGTTGATCAATGTTTTGATCAGAACTCTAATAAGGCAACGAATTCTAGGAAAATAGTGTTTTAATATTGTGAATATCTCTACAATTTGAAAAGAAATATTTATTCAGGTATCTATAATTGATTCTTAGTGATGGAACAACCTAGCAAATCTTTGCGAAGTCCCTGATTTCATTTTCAGGTTACTACGGACAGTCTGATAGAAAATTCTACAGGTTAGCCCCACGCTCATGCAGTTTTCTTTATCAAATAATGACAATTTATCTACTGCTATTTTTAGGTTCACTCGTTCAGAAGAAGAAGATGAACAAGTTGAACAAGATATTAATGCTGATGAAAGGGAATAAGGAGAAGTCAATTGTACTGTGAGGTGAATAGACGTGATAATGAAAAAACTATTTATTTGAATATTCAGATTAGGAGGCCAACGTTGATTGTCTGTTTCCCAAGTTTCCAATGAAGTCCTTCTCAAACTACCTAGAAAGTTAATGCACTTATGTTTATCTTTTGCTAGGGAGGAAATAGAAAATATTTATGATGTCCTGTCTTAAAAAATGCCTTTTGACGAACGAAAGTAAAATAAATGTTAGGCTCATGTTACCGCGGGCATAACATTGAAGGTCCCACCTTGTTTAGTGTCTCATCGAATGCTAAAGTCATCGTTAACCGAAGTTCTAATCTCTTCTCTCTCGTATATATACATGTGCTTGTTTCGGCCTGATGAATATTAAACTGAGGCGTAAAGATGTCTAAAGGTTTTCTCATTTTTATGTTCACCTTGACGATGTTACTGTTCTTCAAAGAAACAATTATTTTAGCACGGAGTGGATGTCTCCCTGAGAAGGAAAGTAAGGATCGTTTCTTTTATGTAAACCATTTCTTTATTTTCCATTCACTTGTGTAGTTCGTTAGGGACTCCACACTTTTTAGCCTTCCATTAAACTTCAGGTTATTTCTAAAAATTCGCTTTGATCAACATGAATCCGATCACATTTCTATATTAGAATAGAGTTTTGATTTATGCAGAGGATGCTCTTCGTGAAATAGCTGAATCGTTGGGCAAAAAGCACCTGAATCCTTGTCATGAACAGGAAAGACCCGAATCACCCGATATGCCATCCTACAACGATTCCATCATCTGCAGTTCTCCTTCCGCTGATGGTGTATGCCACGTAGAATCGATGTCGGTTTTCTTGCTGAAAAACTTATCATCTTTTTCATTAGTTTGAAATTGATTTAGAAATAGCCATTTGTGTTATTGAATTGCAAGGAATCAGCAATCACAGAAAATATATTCTGCTTCTATTGATCCTCAAGCAGTTAAATATGGGGTTTTCAGTATCTGATTTTGAGACATGGAATACCATATAATGGTTGGTAATCTGTTTGTCAATTCTTAAAATGGTATTTTAAGAGGGAATTATTGTACTTTTTTCATGCTTAAACCTCAATAGAACTTATGGTGCCTAGTAATCAAACTTGACCTGTATAGTCTATTTTATATGAATAAATGATATCTACCACCAGTATTGTTAGAATACTAGTTTAAATGTTACCATAATGGGTTCAATGAAAGATAGAGTCGTGTGACTCATTTAATGACACTTTGTGCCACCAAAACTGGTATTATAATACCAGTGGTGCTAAATAACATTATTTATTTTATATTGCTAAAGTCTCTATCTTCCTCGTTTTTAACCTGGATTTGCTTCTGTAATAAAATGTCTTAGTGATATAACCATAAAAAAATTGTTCATTTTTCTCCATTCGGTCAAGCATACAACTTCAATTCACCATGTCAACATTTCAAGTTACCTTTTCGATTGTTGAGTTTGAGTTGAAAATGAAATCGCAGAACGTTTGTAGTGTTCTCTAGATGAAGTCAAGCTACTCTTGTTTGGTATCAATTAAAATCCATATTTTAATTTAAATCAAAATCAATCATTAATTTTAACCACATATTCATGAGATTCACAACTTTTTAACCACATATTTCATCAATTTTTATTAAAATCCATTAGAAATCTGATTTTAATTCCCACCAAACAAGGGCTTATATATTGGTTTAATTTGGAAATCGCTTCAAAATGATTTTTACACTTTGTTTCTTTCACCTTTCTAGAAACTTAATTCTCACACTTAATTTAGAGTATGCTAAAGATAGCCTCTTTTTTCTTTGCAAACAGATCTCTGAAAGGACAGGATTTAGCAGGAGTCCTTCCACCCTCACTGGCGAACTTAACTTACCTCAAGTCAATGTAGCAAAGATATTCCAAGTTTATTTTCAATTTATTAAATCTACTCAGCTTTTTGCTTTAAAGGATGAGACAATTTATTGGCTAAATTGATCTCACTCTGAATCTATTGGCTGCAGTGATCTTACTCGCAACTACCTCAGTGGTACAATACCCAAGGAATGGGAGGAAACCAAATTGGAGTACATGTGAGCTTTGCCTGTAGTTTTTAATTGAGTCTTGGCAATGATGTAATGTCTACATAGTTATATTGAAAAAGTATATGTGATGTAGGTCTCTTATGGCGAACCGCTTATCTGGACCCATACCGAAATACTTAGGAAACATTTCTACCCTTGTATATATGTGAGTTCCTATCTAGCTATCTCCCCCTCTATATATCAACTGATCCATAGATCTCTCTCTTTCTACATATGGTCAGTCCCACATAAACAAGCAAACACCATGAATGTTCTGTTTGAGAGTGGATATATTTTCTCGGAATTCTAATTGTAAATTTGAAAATCTATTCAACTCTCAGGAACCTGGAGAGTAACAGGTTTAACGGGACCGTTCCAGCAGAACTAGGGAAGTTGGTCAATTTAAAGACTCTGTAAGTCCTCTTCGATCATCCAGATTTTAACAAATTAACTGATTGAACTAGTTGAATTTATATATGGTAGATTACACCAACGAAGTTCAGTTTTAAGTTCATGATTAGACAAACTAGATGACAAAATATCGCTTTCCTTAAGAAGTTATTTGTTTCCACCTATCTGTGATGCACACAGGCCGGAATACAAATACGTCCATAGGATATAATGAAGCTTTTAGTGTTGTTTGGGCTTTCTCACGAAGACAACCCGAACACCGAAAAATTTGAAGTCCACTCGAAATTTCTACTTTATCTCTGCAGTACGATAAATACGAACAATATTTTAGAAGATATGAATGCACTAAAATTGGTATTTTGGATGCAAGAAATTGTAGAAAATGGTAGAGTGAAAACGGATTACAATTTCATGTATCTTGATTAAGAAAAAACCATTCAGTCTATTTATAGAATTGAATTACATATCTTCCCAAGAGTTAAAACACTTCAAGATAGTTATTAGAATTTGAATTAAATCAATACAAACCGAAAAAAAATTGAATTCTAATAATAAAACATCAGTTAGGGACGAAAAGAGGCCATTGTTGTCGCTTGGCAGTGCGTCTTGAAGTATTTCCTTCCTTGATTTAATCTACCGATGTCTAAATGACATTCTTTTGAAAATTACTCCAACAATCCTCTACAATTTTCAAAATGAGTGATAATTTTAAAATCTATCATATAGACTTCACAAACTTTATGCATAGATGAAGGTGCTTTTGGACTTCAACCTTCACGTAGTGAAGTTGATGCAAATATTAACCAACGTGATATGGTAGACAAGTTTTGAACCAACAACCGCAAGTGGCTAAGCGAAAAACTTCATATGCAACTTTTATATCCTTGTGTGTTCATATAAATCAACATGTGAATACACCACATGCCCCATATCCTTAATTTTCAAAAATATCTTAAGTAGCTAGTCAAGCCACTTTGGAGAAAAACCATCACCGACACTCATATATATAGAAGATGATACCGGATTAATCCAATACAAAATTGTTGGAGAAAAATAAGAGATTATATCCACAATATGAAGTAATTGATCACAAGAACACAATAACAAAATAATTTGCAGAAAATAGAGATTTTATTATAATATAGAAAAAGAATACAAAGATTTGTGTTTACAATATTTCCAACATCTTCTAAATCATAATGAAGAACTAACTATATGTAGAGAACAAATAGGGGACGTCCAAACCCTAATAGTAGAGTTATAGTTCTAGTCGAATATAAAAATGAGTCCAAAATGGAGTAGAGGAGGAAAAATTGCACAGGGCGAAATAGACCAGGTGGCGCCGACGCCATGGCACCCACTCTCAGATTCTTTATTTCAAAAACTTGATTTCTTTATCCCAATATCCTCTTCAAGTCCAACACAAATTCCATCTCTCAATTTTGCTTCCAAGTAGAACTTCAACTAGAATTCTCCAAGTAACATTCCAAATAGAATTTTTTTTTAATGTATATTCGCTATGAAGAGTAAACCGCAAGTGTACGGGTCGCGTTTAAGTAATAAAGTTGACTTTTTAGTTCGAGTTGTCGATCCCTCGAGGAATGTTTACTTTCGATTACACAACTTTAATCAATTTAATTCTAACAATAAAAAAAACGAACACACAACGAAGATTTTGATTTTGAAAAGAAGAAAGATTAACTAAAATTCTACAAAATAAGATAACATAAAAATCTTGGGAATTTAGGAGGAAAACGTGGTTGAGATTCATGGTTTCGATTAACCATTGTTTAATTAATTTCTCCACAAGCCAATTAATAAATTACACATTTACGATTTTAGACCCGATTTTTCAATGTTAGTTAATTAGCCATTTCGAGCAAAATTAATCATAATTGATTGGTTTAATCTACTATATCTATATGTTGATTAAAACCAAACAACCGCAATAAATCTTTGTGAAAATAGCTCAATCGATCACCTAAGGTTAGGGGTATCTCTATCCCCTATACAAACCTAGGCTTTCTACTATTTGGCCACATAAATGAAAATGCACAATCTTCTCTCGAACGATGTACAAATCACTAAACATAATCATTCATTGGCCACATAAATGAAAATGCATGAAATACATAATAGATACACATGAAAATAAGCATTTTAACATTAAAAAGCAAATAGTGAAATTAATTAAGCCCCTGTTTGGTTCGGATTAAAATTCAATTAAAATTTCAAAACAAAGTCAACAATTAATTTTAACCACACATTTCATGAGACCTACAACTTTTTAACTACACATTTCATCAACTTTATCAAAATCTGATTTTAATCTCTACCAAATAAGAGCTTAAGCTAGGTTAAACTACTATCATAAATCCCAACACAAATATTTAGCCCATATACAATTGACAAAAAAGAGAATATTTATGACAATACATTACAAGTTTGGTAAATCAATGGAGAAACTACAAGATTATAGAAAAAATTCCCTTTTTATGAGATTGGATTTGTCAAGATTATAATAGCTAGCTCTTGATTCCCCCAAAATTTCTCCAATTCCTTGATTGATTCTCCTTTGCGTGCTCTATGATTTTTCCCAAAATCCCCAGAAAAATCAAAAGAAAAATAAGAGAAAAAGAAAGAAGGAAGAAAATGAAAGAAAAGAAAATGGAAAGGAGGAAAAGAGGAAGAAGAAAAAATGGAGCATGGAAGCCCGTTGCTGGTTTTCTAACTTTAAAAACCTAGAAAAATTGTAGCCAAGTCCACAAGTTTTGGCAAGTGACAAAAGTGGTCCCCAAGTTTTAAAAGTAGCGCCTCGACACCAATTCTCTGCCCAGACAGTAGTTCATTTTTTTCTTTTTGCACACAAGTCCTCTAGTAATTTGCACTCAAGGTCTCACAACTTTATTCTTCTACAATTCGGTCCTCAAATTTTGAATTTCATTTCATTTCAATTTTGCCATCCATAAATTACAACACAAGTCCTCCAACTTTTTGCTCTTATGCAATTTGGTCCCCAACTTCTCTTTTTTTTTGCCTTATTCTCTTCACATTTGGCGTTAATGACATAGAAAACTCAAAATTACACAATTGTGAGTCGATATCCGCTCTTTTCATCAATAAAAGCATATTCATGTATTGAATAAGTGTGCAAAAACAAACTTATCAATGTGCACTTTAATTAGAATTTCTAATTATCTTCAACAAAGAATTCGGGATACAACCAAATTCTAACAATCTCTATCTTAAAATTAATTCCACTACAATGAACAAAACTTAAAAAAAAAAAAAAAAAAAAAAAAAAAAGTATAGNAAAAAAAAAAAAAAAAAAAAAAAATTCTCCATTTGGAGACAAATTCCATTGCATTGAATAAACTTGAACTCTTCAATGAATGACACAAACAAACTTCTCCATAAAAAAAATTTCAATTGAAATATTCTCCACCTTTGCTACCCAACTAGGGGGAAAGTGGTATATTGACCATTAAACAAGGCTGAAACAAGCCATGTAACAGAATCACTACTGAATGTATCAAAAGAAGGATATTGACTAGAATCAACACACTTAATCACATTCAAACCATCAACTAAATCAGCAGAATTGTACATATGTGGAATCTTATGGCAAAAAATGGGTCTAATATTAGCAACTGAATATAATGACGTCGATGATGATGGTAGCAAGCAGATTTACCCATAACTTCTAAATTCAACTGAGTTGTATTCTTTAAAAAAGACCCAAAATTAGACTCCAACTCCAAATCCATATCCACCCGAGTTCTTAAAATATGCTGATTTCTCAATGATTATGTATAACACTGCAAGATATATAAATGGAATTTTCTATGTCCATTTAACAAAACATGAGCTCATTTACTAACTTCTAAGACTCCACATTAACAGTATGACTGTATCCTTTTGAATCAAGAGTATTTGAGAAGATAAGATTTTTCTTCAGATTTGGAACGTGTTTCATTGCATCAAGTGTTCTAACCGTCACATCAAATTTTTTTATTCTAACTCGACCAATACCAGCTATCCAATAAGGTGTATTATTACCGGTCATCACAACACTTTTTGAAATTTTTTCATACATTAAAAATAAATCCCGATTAGAAGTCATATGAAAAGTGCAAGCAAGAATCCAAGACTTGTTATGTTTGGAGTTGTTGTTACAATCACAAATCTTCTTTATCATATTCAACCTCCAAGGTCTTCAAATCAACGATGATTAAAAATAGCTAGGTGATCCTCAATAGATGTACATCCTGTCATACAATGAGAATATAGATACCACTTTAAATGCAATTTGCTAGTAAGACTCTTCGTCATGCATAATTACTCCAATTTTAACCATAATGCAGCAACTGACTTCTCCTTCAAATTGCCCTGAAATATATTATTTGAAAGATGAAGATGTATTTGAGATATGACCTTTCGATCCCTCCGTTGTTTCTTCTCCGGAGTCCAAATTGTGATACTTATCAAATCCCAACAACGTGTCGTCCAACTTCATCTGAGCGAGTACTGCCCACATCTTTACTTGTCACGAAGAGAATCTTGTATTGTGATCCAATAGCGGAATATCATATTTCATTGTTGCCATCACAAAAGATCAATTTGAGCTATTAACTTGATCAAAATCTCGATTTTCCCCTAAAATTCAACACCAAAAGTCCTGATACCGACATATTGTGAAACAAAGATGATACTGGTTAATCTAATACAAAATTGCTGGAGAAAAAAAATAAGAGATTATAGCCACAATATGAAATAATTGATCACAAGAACAAAATAATTTGCAGAGAATAAAGATTTTATTATAATACGAAGAAATAATACGAAGATTTGTGTTTACAATATTTCAAATTTCTTCTAAATCATAATGAAGAGCCTGCTATATATAGGGAACATATAGACCCTAATAGTAGGGTTGTGTCGATGTAGAATGCAAAAAAGAATCCAAAACGGAGTGGAGGAGGAAAAATCGCGTAGGGTGAAACAGA